ACCTGGATGAATGCTTGTTTTTCACGTGGTATCGTAAGATGTGAAATGTTGTGATGTGTCATGATCTCATGTACATTCATGTCATTAACCATTTCCTTGCCATCCAATAACTACATTTTCTAAGCAGGTTACTAGCTTGCTTAGCTGCTATAGGCGATTACTTAAGAGTCAGTAATAAATGCAGTGAGGAATGAAGTTATAAAAATATAATTAGACAGAATACATATGTTGATTAATCGTAATAATGCGTTGTCCTAGGCCAAGTGATGTCACACTGTTATAAGTTTGTATGCTTAACAAACCTTGAATCATTAGTAGACAAGTCTGAAACGAGTTCTTAATCCATGACTGTCGAAAGATGTCCAAGAAGGATGTGGCGTGTTTCTGGATCGTACTGCTCCTGTGCCAAGAGCTGCGGACCGACCAGATTGCAGAGATGGGACCATCCTCCGGCATCCTGATTCAAGAGACACCAGGGTTCATCTTGACAGAGAAGAGGATCCTGACCCGACGTGTGTTCGTCAGCTTGGACCCCAAGATTTCCATCGAGAAGGCATATAACATTTCATCGATGCAGCTTCCTGAGTTACAGTCATGGTACCAGATGCACCTCCACAGAGCACAGGACCGTGTGCGAAACATCTTGGAGCAAGCCCGGAAACCATTTGTATCCAGTACTATTTCAATGAGCAACCGACCCAAAAGGTTCCTCACCGCCATTATTGTTGCATTAGTTTGTGCCACTGTCGGTGCAGTTGTCACAACTGGAATGTCTGCAGCCAAATCTATTACTGTCAAAAAGCTGGATATGGAAATCTATGCGCTAAAGCAACACATTAACGATATTCATCAGGTGATAAACCAGCAAAGAACACTTCTCCAAGATGTGTTAACTATTGTGGAAGACACAGTTGTTACAACAAATTTGCATTCAGAGTTAATTGCCAAATCCACTGAGTTGCACCAAAGTCATGACTTATTTAAGCGTGAACTTCTATTTCTGCATGACCCAATATTGTTCCACACACTTGCTTTTCTTGACGAAGTGCAAACTGGAATGATTGAATTAGCAGGGGGACGCATTTCTCTGTATTTTGTATCCAAGGATATTGTTCATGCGATGCTTGCCAATGTGGATGGAGAGACAATTGAGCCTATGCAATTAAATCTGGCCTTTGAGATGGGGAGCGCTATACCTCTCTTAATTGATCCGGAATGCATGGAGATTTGCTTGTTATTAACCATACCATATGTCACTCCCAAAATCATTTTTCAAATGAAAACAATTTACAATGTCGGTACATGGAAGGAAAATATCCACGTAAAAGTCCAAACCCCAGATGTTTTGGCTTTTCAACCGTGGGTACCAGATTGGTATTCAATACCCATTTTGAATGACTGTGAGAAATTCAAAGACAATAATTTCCAATGTGATGGAAAACCTTTTGTGTACAATTATACCAATGCTTTGTGTGGGATCTAGTACCTTAAACATGGCTCTGAAACATGTCAAGTAACTATGTAAAAAAAACTCGACAGTAATGCGTTAGTACATGCTATCTTAGTAAAAGATAAATGGTTGGTAAGCACGTGTCTTAAAAAAATGAGTGTTTTTCACAGGGACCAGGTGACTAATAAAGTAATTGCCTTACCAGCACCTGTCTCACTGGTCAAGGTACCCCACGACTCTCATATCACCATCGGCGACGTTACGCTATACCTGGTGTACACTGACATCATCGAAAGTGCTATTGAGATGGTGGGTGGATCCCTTCCAGAATCTAGATATCCCTCTAGATCCTAATCTAAAGTTCTTGCTGGACCACAAGCCCAACCACACTATCCAAATGTAAATCAGAAAAGATAACATTTCTGTGGACACATTTAAGTACTCTGAGCTAGATACTGACCTTATTGCTCGTGTTGAATGGTTCATCCATGTTAAGATTGTTATTGTAACTAGCCACTAGCCTGAGCTAAGGAATGCATTATGTAAACAAGCCAAGTGATAAGCAATGAAGCAGGGGGATGCAATGCTCTGTTTAAATGTTAATGGATAGACACTAGTGGCAGACACTAGTGACAGACACTAGTGACAGAGAAGACTAATTAATTTTACTCTCTAAATTTTAAGTAAGGGGTGAAATTGAGTTTAGAACTGTCAATTTTAGAAATTACGATCAAAGTAGTTGCCACAAAGACTGAGACGCTTTGAACTGACAGCAAATTTAAGTTAGGGTAGTCATTATTATTATTATGATATTTATAGAGCGCCATCAAATTCCGCAGCGCTTTACAATGGGTGGACGAACAGACATGTAGTTGTAACCAGACAAGTTGGACACACAGGAACAGAGGGGTTGACGGCCCTGCTCAATGAGCTTACATGCTAGAGGGAGTGGGGTAAAATGACACAAAAGGTAAGGATAGTCATTTTAGATAAGCCAAATGATGTCAAAATCGTCATCAGGAAAAGTTAACTCTTACCTGGATAGGAAGGTTTAGTGAGGCGAGACTGCCCTCTATGGATCAAATATCTAAATTGCGATCTGCAGGTTGACCACACCTACAGTTTCCTATTATATATCAACTAATGATGTACAGAGAGTCTGGCCCTTTAAAAGTTAGGAACAAAGGGAAGAGAGAGGTTAGTTTGGGCTTTCAGATTCAGACATTCAGAGAGATCCAGGACAATTATTCAAGTCACTCTGGGACTAACTCTCTCAAACTCTCCTGGACACAACTCAAGAAACCATCCTTGACACTTAGAATTCTACTCAATTATTATTACTTTCGAATTAACTTCACTTTTCTCTATTACTTACACAGCTCCATACAACCAATCATACTCACATTCAAGTTCCTGGGACCACCTACTCATCTGATGAGAACATCTACATAACTGGTAATTATGCTGGTTTTATTTAATTTAAATTAATTAAAAATGTACTAATAGCATAATATATGACTGGATAAATCACGGTCAGATTTCAATAATTGAGAAATCTTAGTTAACTAAAGAATATGTAGTTATAACACTCCATTCTGCAGGTGGAGTCAGATAATTACATAGTAATTCCAGGAAATGATTAATGAGCTGGTCTGAATGTTATTTTAATAGAAAATTACATGAGAATAGGATATTATATGCCTAGGAGGATCTAGCCAGCATTGAAAGGGTTACTCAGTTGATCTAACTGCTAGCCAAGGTTTTATGGCTTTTCGCTGGAAGTTTAGCTTTCTGTGTCTGTGAAGTACCCTCATAAATCTTGTAAGTTTTGACAGTAGATGCTGTTAGCCATTGGATTGCTTTAATATTGCCATTGTATTACATACTTATGTTACACTAAATATTCACTGATTGTTATCATTCATGCTGCCTAATATTATTATTATTTTATTTGTCATAATAAATTATATCTATTTTTATAACAAATTGTGATTTTATTTGTATGAAATACATTTCACTTATTTGATAACGATCTCTAAGATCTGAGAGAATTGAAATAGTGGGCAATTCTCAACTGTATAATATTATCATCCTGTAAATATCTCCACAAGAGGTAGAAAAACAAAGCTTTCCCTCACTGTCTTCTGCTGAGCCTTGATGACAAGATTGCTCAAGGTTCTGTCAGCCTCTGTGATGTCGTTGAGTAAGACACCAACACTTGAAGCAAAGAGAAAGGAGGCAGGAGGTTGAAAGCACGGCCAGTGTAGACAAGGTAGTAATGAAGAAAAGGAGATTATCTTTAATAAAAAAAAAAAATGTTTCTTATGTCATATCACTGACTTGACCTCACTGACATCTCGTGTTTTCTTAGGTCAAGATGTCTGAGAGAAGGCCAACTTCTCCTAGTAGGACATCACACCAAGCCCTATTTTCCCAGCCAAGCTGTCCATCTTGCAAGGTGAAAATCACATTACATCCTGACTCTTCAGGCCAAATTGTCCTTGTTGCAAACTGAAAATGTAAGGGTTAATAGCAATGTTTATTTAGATATACTGTAAAATATAGATTATATATATATTAATGTTAATATTGCAATATTGTGTATCGGTGTTATAATGAGTGATCGTTAATTTCATATGGGTATATAATGATAAACATGCCAAGATGTTCCTTACATCGCCTGGAGAAAAGTTCAAACTCATAGTCTGGTTTTTAAAAACTCATAGTCTGGCCACATAGTCTGGTTTTTAAAATTACACCAAGTCCCAACTTTTCCTGAGCAAACTTGTCCTGTACAAGGAAGCAGGAGGGCACATCTCAGCACTAGGGAGGATACAGTATTACTATAGAAGATTTGCCCACACCTGGGGCAAGGAGATGAGAGGCGGGTGGTTCAATGTAGGGGCAGCACAGACAAGGTAGAAAAGAAAAATAGGGGATCTTGTTTCTCATGACTGGGTCTAAGATGCAAAAGTCCCTTGTTCTCCCAGGCCAAGCTGTTTGGAAGTAGGTCAAGTTGTCCTAGTTAAAATAAAAAATCTCATCAAATCCCCTGTTTCCCCTAAACAAATTGTCTCAATTGCAAGCTGAACACCCCACCAAGGTTCCAACTTTTCCAGGGGACGTTGTCCAAGCAAACATATTCATTTAAGAAGTGCATACATTGATATAAGGTTTCTAGAGTAAAATTAACTTGCAAAAAAAAAAACTAAAAATGAATATGTAAATTGATATTCCAACCAAAAAGCATTGCTGCAGCATGAGGGATAGGCCGCATTGATTGTGGACCGTGCTACTTTGGATGCCTGTCACTAGCACGCTGTGTATACTGATACTGACTTTCATTCCAGGCTGAGTGACGATCCAGTGATGCTACTGGAGTGGAGTTATATGCAATAATCAGAGTTTCATAGCAAAATGCTGCACATATAGACTCTGAAGTGGAAATCAATTCAATAAATTGATTATTTTTGTGTATCTGCCCCTTTCCAAATTGGTTATGGTGCATGCATGCTTTCCAAAGTAAATCACACCAGACACGTTTCCCGGTTGATGAAATACTCTGGAATGTTTATTCAGGGACGACGACCCTGATAAAGCACAATTACATCATAAGCACTGTCAGCGATAACATGAAATAATACATCAATAATTGGTTAAGTGTTTTATTCAAAGCACGTCCTACTGGGTGTGCCATCTTATGTCATTACTGTCGTCATGAAGTTCTCCCCCGGATTCCAGCACTATCTTGAAAATGAGAGTGTTTGGTCGATCGGTGGGGTACTCCTGAGTGGCATCTAGTGGTCAGTTTAGTAATTTATTGAATAATACTGAGTATAACTTAATGGAGTAAATAGGCATTTTACTAGCTAAAAAATATGTCAATATCTAATTCCCACAACAGTCCCCCCTTAAAATGGCTATTTACCATTACAACTGCTACTGTCCCTAATATGTCCCTAGCTGCCTACAGCTCATCTGTCTTAACAAGCATCGAACACTTCACTCCATGGGTAACCCGCGGCGGCTAGTCCACCACATCTCCGCACGTGAGACTCGCCTGTAGAGACAGACGCTTTCCCTATGCTATCCCTACAAAAATGCAGTTGTCTGTCTGAACTGGGGGGCTGAAGGGGTGTATGTGGTGTGTCACATTCTAGGTCAGTGACGTCTTGATGTAAGAAAGTAGGGGTTACGTTGTCTACAGTCTTCCCTACTGTCTTCTGTAAATACTTTTGTATGCAAGGTAATGCACAACAAGTTAGGAACAGGAAGATGATGATCATTGTGTGGACTGCTGTCCCAACTTGGAATAGGGTTCTCTGTCAACCATTAATCCATCCAAACCATCTGTCCCATACATTAGTGATCCCTGAATTCTTCTTTAATTCATCTGAGAGGCTGTCTAATTTCTCTATTGCCATAGTTACTTTACCATTGGGCCCAGTATTATCCGGAATGAATGTACAGCATGTCATGGTTTCAGGGAGGATTTTACATACACCCACCTTTTCTGCTAGAATCATATTCATAGCCATTCTATTTTGAAATGTCATTTGGGTGGTAGCTTGCAGTTGTTCTGCCAGGCCCTGTAGGGCATCTCTAGTATAGTTAACAAACCGCTATTGGTTGTAATAGATATAATTAATCCAATTAACATTCTTATTGACAGTGATTAATGGAATCAGGGACTCAAAGCCAGCGGCAACCTCATCCCTAGCTTCAAATTCGTTGGGTACCCCCCTTGGCACACCAATGGCATCAATATAAACATGTGGATCAAAGCTACCACGGATTGGTGCTTCCCTTTTGACTCTGGAGTGTGTGTGCGTGGGATCAAACCCATTGTGATGGCCATCCTGGATAATATGGATGGGCATTATGGCCTTATTTAGTGTGCATTCTCCCCACCATAGTCCCGTTAGTTGGGATCTCAGTTGCTTATCACCACACAGCCAATAAATATTCCCAACTGTTTTTGCATAGTTCATTAACAGTGTCGTGGGTGGATTATGATAGGTAGAGCAATAACCAGATGGGAATTTGCCCATAAATGTACCTGTGTTCTTAGGTATTGAATAGCAAGTGTAGTTACCTGGGTATACAGTGACTCCATCAGGTGGTCTAACGTGTCCCTGGGTGATTGGGTAGACCTTTTCCATGACTCACACATTGAACAGTTAGTGGTAGATTGTGCATAAAAACTCAGGACACATAATTCAACATCGGGAGGTAGGTTTAAAGGCACCGTGCCCAGGTGGGGCCTAGCTCCCCCACCTACATAACAGTTAGTCTGATTGTGTGAGTTAGCATTATATCTCATCCATTCCAGCCATAAGTTAGTGTCTGAGAACCCAGTTTCTACTGCCCTGGTGTCTTCAAAGGTGGGATTAGCAATAGCAACCATATCATATAAAGTCTTAATGTGAGGTTGAAGTGGGTTGACAGTCATGTGAGTCGTACCTACCCAATCAGGTGAGGTGAGTATATCTTGTAGGAAGAATGTCCCCGACTTGTTATATGAGTCACCACCCTTCCAGTGCATGCCCATTACATATTCCCCTGCATCCCCCAGACTGGGGTGCTGTATGTTTAAAGTGAGTTTGATTTGGGTTGACTTAAGGTCATTCTAGAGAGTAGGGTTTTCCCATCTTTGTCAACTCTATCTAGGGCACATTGGGGTTTATATCCCCATGGTCTACCAGTATTCCACCCAGCCGCTTTCCAAGAACCACAATGATGTCCCCAGGACCCTCCAGTCACACAAATGTATGGGTCTTTCTTGTCAGGTATGTCTTTGTGTATATATATATATATATATATATATATATATATATATATATATATATATATATATATATAAATAGCAGCGTGTTGTGTTTGTGGAAAAGTGCAAACAACAATATCACAATAATCAAAGGTAAATGTAGCTACATCTGTGTTTGAGGAATTGTACTAAAAGGTGTAAACATGGTTATCTTTGGTTATAACTACTTGTTGGGCCTTTGTGATGGTTAGCAGCAAATGAAAATATAGGAAGCACAGAAAACTCATAACTCAACAGGGGCTGCTTCCTCTGGAGCAGGCACTTTCTTGCAATGTGAGGCGTGTATCCAGGAACCTTTTCCGGCCAGTTTTACTGAGGTAGCCGTGATTAGCAGCACTTGGTAAGGACCATCAAATCTTGGCTCAAGAGTGTGCTTCCTGAGGAATTTCTTGACCATAACCCAGTCACCTGGAAGCAACTTGTGTGTACCTGTATTCGACTCAGGATCTGGAATAGAAGAAAACACTTGGGCATGGAGTTTGGTCAAGGCATGAGAGAGAGCAGTTACATAATCTACCATAGCATCTGACTGAATCTAAAGCTGTTAGGGGAAATAACCTAACCTTGGTGCTGTACCGAACAAGATCTCATAGGGTGATAAGCTGTATTTTTCCCTAGGGGTGTATCTCACACTGAATAATGTAATGGGAGACTCTCAGGCCAGGGCATGTTAGTTTCTTGGGACATTTTGAGCATTCTGGCCTTCAATGTGCCTTATCACTACTCTGCGGGTGATATGGTGTGTGGAATGTAAGGGTCACCCCCAGTGCTGCCCAGACTTCCCGTGTCAATGAGGCGGTAAAGGAGGTTCCTTGGTCACTTTCAATTACTTCTGGAACACCATACCGACAAACAATTTCCGTCAGAAGATGTTTGGCTGTAGTTCTTGCGCTAAGATTGGCCACTGGGAAGGCTTCTGGCCATCCTGAGAATATGTCCACAATGACTAATGCGTATTCATAGCGTCCACTTTTTGGCATCTGGATGTGATCAATCTGTATCCTCTGGAAAGGGTACTGTGGTTTGGCCAAGTTGTTGGGTGCAGTTTTAACAATCTTCCCGGGGTTACATTTAGCACAAATTGCACAAGATCTACAATAGTTCTGTGTTAGAGTAGTAATACCCGGTGCTTCAAAGTATTTATCAATCAGAGAGTTCATCAGATGTGTTGACAGGTGGGCTGGTCCATGAGCCCATTGGACAACAGCTGGATACATATTCTTGGGTAGACTGAACTTAAGATTGATAGTGTAAACATCATCATCTCGGAGAATAGCCCCTCTTTTCTTCCAACTCTGTTTCTCTTGAGGGGTTGCAGCGGCTTGTTGTTCCTTTAAAAGTCTGAGATCTGTAGGCAATGTTTGCATGGTGTAAATGGGTGTTGTTTCAGTGGCCTCTCTTCAGTCCACTTTCCACCCTTGTCGTGCTGCTTCCTTGGCAGCTTGATCAGCTAAATGGTTGCCTCGTGCTTCTTCCGAATTCAACCTCCCGTGGGCCTTTACTTTTAGCACCGCCACTTCTGCTGGAAGTATCAGGGCATCCATTAGTTCCTCAATGGCTGTGCCATGTTTCACCGGAGTGCCGGTGGCTGTGAGAAATCCTCTGGTTTTCCAAATCAGGCCAAAATCATGTGCCACTCCCAGGGCATATCTTGAATCTGTATAAATGTTGACACGTAGACCTTCAGAGAGCTTGCAGGCCACTGTGAGGGCTGTTAGTTCGACTTCTTGAGCTGATTTAGTTGGCGGGAGTGCGGCTGCCTGTAATACTTGACTTTCTGTAGTAACTGCATATCCAGTGTGATATTGCCCTTGTTCATCAGCAAATCTGGAACCATCCACAAACAGTATCTGATCTGGATTAGGTAGAGCAGTCTCGTACAGTTGGTAAATGGGTGGTTTCCATCTTCATCTGTTCAAAGCAATCATGAGGGGCTTCTGGGTCTTGTTCCATGGGAGGGAGATCTTCACAAATTTCTGAATGGTATTGAGGGTATCCAACTGTACTACAGTTGATAATCTTCTTAGTTACCCCCATTGATTCAAGTTGTTCTTGGGTTATTGCGCTCCAGGATTTGGTCATTGGGCATAGATCTTTCCATGAGAGGTCAGGAGACTTGGTGAGGGATATATGTGGGACAGCTGTTTCCCAGTGACGGTAGAGATGAGATACCTCTGTTGGGAGGTGAACCAGTAGGACCATGTTGCCTCTGGTGTCCCATAGCAAGTCTGTCAATGTGATGTGAATTTCCACAAGCTGAAGTAGTTCTTCTTTATAATCCACATCAGGGCCTTGGTTGTCTTTGAACCACAGGGTACAGTGTAACAAGTTCTCTGGTTGCACATCATGTGGAGTTGCAAGAGTAGGTAGTTGGAATTCCATCCGGGCATCTGGGTTGATATCCAGGCTGTACCAGTACTGTGCCACTCCGCCCTTGGGAAGTGGCAGATGAGTGGTCGGGTTCAGTGAGTAGCAGCGTTGTAAGGTAACGTTATCAGGTAGGAGTAAGGAGGTTTGCAAACGTAGATGACGTTGAGAAGAGAGATGTTTCAGTTAAACCTGTTGTAGAATCGCAGAAATATCATGTGGAGCCAGGACGGTCAGAGAATGACCAAGGACAAAGTCATTGGTTTTGTCCAACAAAGCACTAGCAGCAAACACTGCTCGTAGGCAGGAAGCACTGCCTCTGGCAACGGGGACAAGCATGCAGGAAAAATAGCCAATGGGTCTCTGTCTGGAGCCATGTGCTTGAGTAAGGACCCCAGAGGCGTGGCCCAACTCCTCAGAGACAAACAACTTTAAGGGCAACTGGTAATTGGGTAAGCCCAAGGCAGGAGCAGAGGCAATTGCTTTTTTCAGGGCAGTGAAGCAGACAAGGGCATGAGATGAAAGTGAAAAAGGTTCGCTTCTTAGAGCATCATAGTGGTTGCATCAGTTGAGAGGCTTCGGGAATCCAAGATCTACAGTAAGTGATGAGGCCTAAGAAGGCATGGAGAGAGTGATGAGCTGAAGGCGTTGGTAGATTCAAGATAGCTAGGATCCTGTTCTTGGTATGGTGGCCGGTGCCATGGGAAAGGCAATGTCCCAAGAAGACCACAGAGGGCCGGCACCACTGGAGTTTTGATTTAGAGACCTTGAAGCCTTCTTCAGCTAAGAAGATAAGTAGGTCTTCAGAAACACGTTCAGCAGCTTGGAGATCAGCAGCACAGGGAAGTAAGTCATCAACATACAGAAGCAAGACAACGTCTGTGTGGGTCTTTTGCCAGGGTTCAAGGACCATTGACATGGCCCGGGCAAACTGAGTGGGGGAATTTTGAGCCCCCTGAGGCATAACAGTCCATGTATATTGCTGACCTTCATGAGTAAAGGCAAAGAGGTATTGGCAGGATGGGTCCAAGGGCACACTGAAAAATGCATTAGCAAGGTCCACTACAGTAAAGATTGTGGCAGAGGGTGGAACCTGTGACAGTAATGTGTGTGGATTGGGGACCACAGCTGTGTCTTTGACTGTGACATCATTGACTGCACGTAGATCCTGAACCATGCGGTATTGATCGGGCTGTCCTTTCTCAGTCTTTTTCTTTACAGGAAAAAGTGGAGTGTTACATGGTGATACACACTTGACGAGAGTACCCTTGGCTAGGAGGGTCTCCACTTGTTTGGAAATGGCAAGGGCCTGAGCAGGATTCAGAGGATACTGGGGTCTTCGTGGAGGTACTGCTCCTGGTAGAAGCTTGACCACAACGGGGGGAACTTTAAGGCGTCCAATATCATCCGGGCCAGTAGACCAGAGTGTTACAGGAATATTGTCCAGAGCACTGGGGGCATGAGGGACCCTTGATTCCCCTACGGGAGATGCAAGATGCAGTAGTATGGGGAGGGAACAAAGCACTGAAGTGTCTTTTCATGACAGGGGTGTGTTTAGTTGAACTTGGCCATCTGCAGTAAAAGTAATGGATGCTTGGAGACGGGACAGGACATCAGCACCCAAAAGGTTGATGGGACACGTGGAAGAGACTACAAACTGGGAGAGGATATCTGACCCCACATGGAGAAGTTTGGTGAGAGGGTATCATCAACACCAACACAGGAAACATCGGTGTCAGACAGGAATGATGAGTCAGGCAGGTCTTGTTCTCTAAGAACACTGCGGGCTGCACCTGTGTCAACCAGGAAAGTAGTGGGATGACCCTCAATGGGTAGAACTACTGTGGCTAGTGGCCCTCCCCCATCCCCTGTAGACACTGCCATGGCAGGGGCATTAAGCATCAGTGGGTTTGCTCTCCTCTGTATGGGCTGTGTTACTGACTCTAGCCCCTTTCTATGTCACTAGCAATAGCTTTTTGCAGTCTGAACATGTCTATCATTATAAATAATGTTTAATAGTAAGTGAAGTAAAGTTCCTGTATGTCTTTGGATAAAACTTTAACTATTGAGGTACTAACATTTATATGAATTAGACCATAACAATTATACCACCCTGTAACTAAAATGAATAACCAGTAGTGTCTGGGTTAATAAAACATGTCACAAATCCTCCTAATGCTAAACCATTATTTAACGTAAAGGATGTTACTGTAAACATACGATCTGTAACTAGCAAGATTCGATTAAGTAAAGATACAATGTTTAAAATAACTTGCATTATTTGGCTATTTTCCTTGTTGCAAGACACAGGCATTAATGAATATTCATCTGGATAATCAGCTGCTATATTCGTGTCCAACAGATCTCATTTGTAGGTCACACCACAGTTGCAAATTACATTTTAGCAAATTTTTTTAATATTATTGTCACAGACACATTTCTAATACAGGGAAACAAATGGCATGATTGTGTTAGTAATTATAATGTTTCTGTTCATAATATGTATAGTGTAAGGAAAACAACATGTCTCTAAATAGGACGATCATAATAGGGGTAGGCCTCATGATGGAGGCAGCTATGACAGGGGCGGGGAAGGAAATTATGGCAAGGTGACGTCCATGATATGTGTGGGAAAGGAAGACAGGAGGTGTGGGCATGGTAAGGGTGGAAGTGACGTCACTTTAAAAGCAAACATGACTGTAGATAGGTCACAGGACTGGCAGGGCCAACCTCCTTCTGTACTAGGCGCCATCTTTAGGGAGGTGGCTGACATACTTTCAACAATACACTATATTATAACTAATAAAATAAGTCAGTTTCGAGATGAAATACTAAACTATAAATAAACCTGACAGGTTAAATAAGACAGTTGAGAACATTATGCATTTAACAGCCCATAAAGCTGTCCATAGAAACATGTACTTTAAAGTAACATGATGCAAAATAAACTCACGGATTTCAACCAATTTCCCTTATCATCCAACAACCATTAATCACCTTCCTCTTCATATACTAACCTAGCTACTCTGCATATTCCCTCTATCCACATTGCTTAGTATTGCAACAAATCACTTTCCTTTTACACTTAACACGTCCAAATATCCCTCTATTATTGTATCAGGCTACACCTTCCTAAATTCCGTATTCAACACGGAATGAATTCTTGTGAGCTAGTCTCCCCCACAATCCTCACTACCTTATCACAAAACACAATATATATATATACAAAGCACTACGGAATCTGTTGGCGCCATGTAAATGGCAATAATAATGATATATATATATATATATATATATTCAAACTCTAGTAACCTCTACACAACACATCACACCGTAACCTTCCTAACAACATCTAGGTATATAACAATGCACACAATATTACACAATTAAAATATTTCAGTAGCTCTGAAATGCAGGCATGTCACTCCTGTCCCCTAGGTCTGTACATCACAGAAAGCAAGAGGGGAGGGGGGAGGGGAGGACAGAGTGCAAAAAAGGGGAGAAAGAGAAAAGGGGGAAACTTCAGGCATGAAGGTTAACCGTGTGAGCGCCGTAAAGTAACAAGACAGAAGGACAAATTTATACGTTAAAATTAGAGGCAGATAAACCGGTTGAAGACACAATGTATAGACTGCACTATACACGCACAGACACAGGACAGATAGAGTACAAAGGAAAAGATAAACGTGGCAACACGAAACAAAAGGCATTTACAAAAATCGCATACGTATAAATGAGTATACACTCCAGAATCAATGACAAGCCACACAACACACACACACACACACACCAAGGGTACCCACACTGTAGCAACAATTAAACAAAATCCACAGAATAACAGAGAGTAATATGGCCATGTACATAATAAAACAAAACAATGGAAATCAAAAATCAACAATCCCAGCCTCTCTTCTCTAGGCTGTAACCCTGTACAGTAAAATCCCACCTCCTAACAGGTGATCCACAAATTAGTCCCAGCCCTTCACCGGCTGCTTGTAATTCCCCTACCCGATCACACGTGTGGTCCCCAGCACTGCTAACAACAACCCAACCCTCTTACTTGGGTGGTCCCCAGCCCTTCACCGGGTGCTGCGTCCCCTGCCCGCTAGGCAGTCAAGCTAAGATTTTAAAAAGAAAATACATGCACCGGCCTTCACACACATTCATACAAACACTCAGGAGGCAGATAGACAAGCGACAGGTTCGTTAAAAGAGGCACCGGATAAGAGATTACCTGTCTTTTCTTGTAGCCTTCTGGAAGCCAGAAGTGGGCGCGGAGGCAGACCGACACAAAACAGGAGAATACAGACAACGGCTGCATTTTGGAGGTGATCAGGCTCCTGTTGTCCCGCTCCGGTCCTTGGTTTCCGGCCCTCCGAACCGCTAAATCCGGTGCCCCACGTCTGGGCGCCAACTGAAGTGGAAATCAATTCAATAAATTGATTATTTTTGTGTATCTGCCCCTTTCCAAATTAGTTATGGTGCATGTATGCTTTCCAAAGTAAATCACACCAGACACATGTTTCCCGGTTGATGAAATAACTTGCATGTCCCTTATAAAGCACAATTACATCATAAGCACCGTCAGCGATAACATGAAATAATACATCAATAATTGGTTAAGTGTTTTATTCAAAGCACGTCCTACTGGGTGTGCCATCTTATGTCATTACTGTCGTCATGAAGTTCTCCCCCGGATTCCAGCGCCATCTTGAAAATGAGAGTGTTTGGTCGATGGGTGGGGTACTCCTGAGTGGCATCTAGTGGTCAGTTTAGTAATTTATTGAATAATACTGAGTATAACTAAATGAAGTAAATAGGCATTTTACTATCTAAAAAATATGTCAATATCTCATTTCCACAACAGACTACAAATAACTGCAATGGTCATGGTACTTAGAGTAACCCTTTAATAATACACTGTAAAATAAAGGTGAATAAATCGATTTATGGAGATAGCGAGATAAACCCTATTAATTCTATTGATATATGTGTGTGTAAAGTGATATAAACTGCAACAAACAAGTGATTATGCACTTTAAGATATATATGTATGCAGTCATAGAATGATTAGAATTCATTTAAAATGTTTATACAGTAATATTAGTTCCAAGACTGAAATTTATCCATACAATGACCTAACGGTTAATATATTAAAAATAGGCGTCCACTCTAACCTTGGAGTACACTGTTACAACGGTTACAAATGAAACAAATGTGTATATGGTGATTTAACAGACTGTGGACCTGGTCCCAGGAGTCCCTGAAAGAAGTGTCTGACAGCAGCAATCAATGCACAAAATATTCAATGTTATTGGATAACTCTGCTGACTGTCTAGAAGTGTGTTCATTTGCATACGACTTGTATGCAAATGAGGACAACCAAATTAGTAGTAAAATGAATATATAATTGCTTTGTATTGTGTTTAAAATTTTTATTGGTATTATATAGTGTGTCTATTAATTTTAATTGCTTATTTACTAATGTTCCTTTTATTGGTATTGTATTGAAGTCACAGCAATCTAAATGTTTTTGGCATATGGGCTAGGCCTGAGAAAAATAAATAAAGGATGGTATGTTAGTTCCTTTTGGAACAGTGTGTCCTATGTGATTTTTATGGATCCCGGTAACAAAGTGTTCGGACCTGTAAGCTGGCTGCACGATCCCTTTAACCCTGGGATAATCAAGAAAGCTAGGCCTGAGAGCTGTAAGTGCCCATGTAAAAGGCAATAGCAATCACTATGGGGGTCGTGTGTCTCCCATTAACACTGGCAACATTGTATCCGCGAGCAAGTACTGTGGTTTGCGGGTGGCCGCCGTTTGTGTACCGAACACATGGCGATGGCCATATTTTCTCCTGAATGCCCACCGAGGTCAGGTCGTCGAGTGCCTGGAACGGAAATCGGCTACTCGACGTACCAAGCCCCGCTGGACTTCCATATAATTCGGTTAATATGTGAATTCGTTGAATTCAGTCCGGTATAATAACGCCTGGTAATGGGTGTTCGCATGACGCTTCACTAGAATGGCTTTCGTGTGTTAGTAAAGGGATCAGAGCGGTATTTCACCAGATGGTGCGCTCAAATCCCAGCTATTCAGTGATGGGTCATTCGGTTTATTCTCAGCAATATTGACCCAGTTATGTATTTTTATACGAATTGGCAGATTCTGCTGTACAGAGAGATAATGTAATTAAAAGTATCCTCTTGCACAATTGTAACGGAGCTCCTTGTACTCTGACTGAGTACCCTCCGTTGACGGATGCTCCTAGCGCTTCCTGAAGACTGAAAGCAGTGCAGCAGACACCACAACCACCGCAGACTCCGCAACCGCTGTATCTTGACTGGAGTCTCGCCGTCTTCCTTCCACCCTGGATCAGCTTCTGTCCTCCAAGACTGTGTGGGAAAGAACTCTTCTTTCCACCCTGTATGAACCTCCAGCATCCAGGACTGTGTGGTGAAGACCCCTCCTCCAAGGAGAGCGTGTCAGGAACAAGCTCTTAAAAGAGCTAAGTGATTCAAGCTCAAGGGAGCATGCAGAGCATAGCAAACCCCAGTGTGATTATAACAGCACCCTCCAATAACGAGACAAGGCTACGTTTAGAGGGATCAAGAAGAACTGTCTAAACCTTTATTTCCCTTGGGACCAGCCCATAGGGTCACCACAATAACATTGTTGTGAAACCTCAATAAAATCAAAAACAGTCAAACCATAGCAGGCAACACACAGTGACTTATCACAACACAATGGCACATTTTTAAAGGGGTGGGGGAGACAATATTTTACAGTAAATATCTCACCTGCCTGCAGAATTAGCAATATGCAAATCTACCCGAATATGCAAATGAACCAGTCTTGCAATTCAGGTAGTGCATATTGCTGTTGCTACCAACAGAGGGCACTAGACAAGCTCCATAGCCAAACCCACCTAGTTGGTAGCAAACCTCAGCAGTACAGGAGAGCAGGCAATACATTTCACAGTACACACACACACTATAAACAATTACATTACACACACCCTGCACCTATAATGGGTACAGGGTGACTAAAACATAAGATAAATAAAGCAGCCTACATAAATAGTCTGTCTGAAGGTAGACTAGGGGCTTTAAAGCCAAATACATGAAAGAGTCATAGTCACAGGGGAGGAGGCTGGCAAGCAGGCCTCTCGAGGACCAAGTGGCGAAGGGCACTTCGTCACAACAATAATTTCTCCTGTACAGCACTGCATCATGGGAATTGTCTTTACATGCTGTGAAGAAATGCCCCTCTTATGCTGTAAATTAATTTGTATTCTTTTGTTTGATAATAATGTTCCCTATGGCATTCGGTAGGTAAAACTACCGAATCAAGACCACCCTGTTGCCCATTATACTGACTTTACCTCCCTGCTGGCTGGATTACGTTCGACAGAAGTTCTGCACGAACGGCATGTCTCGCCGCCATTTCGGGACTTCCACGTGTTCGCGGCCATTTTAGCTCCCGAACAGCGGTGTTTGCCGTCGAGTGTCTGGAACTGAAAACGGACACTCAAATAGGCGAACACCGCTGAATCCTCCAGACCTTCGGTAAACTCCCTTCCAAACTACCGGGCGTTCGGTAGAAAGACTTACTAACCGATGGGGAAACAAGCGAACCAAGGATGGTAGCTGGATGGCCGGCCGTTCGGGAGGTTTTTCATGCGACCCAAGACCGACTGCAGGGCCAGAATTCATGGAACTGTTTTCGGCTACTTTGCCCGTGCAGTCGGTCAAAACTTCTAAGTCCCATATCTCCCGAACAGCTGAACCGAATGGACTGAGTTATTTATATGTTGGTCCCCCAGAGAACAGCTATCTGGGGATACCAAAGTCCTTGGGGTACATCCAAACTTTGGGGAAATTCTGTTACGTTTTAATTATGTTTAATGGTTATCTGAGGGGAGGAGATGTACAGTATGTATATTGTTAGGATTGGATGTACTGTTAATTATATGGGAGGCTCCCTTGCATGGGCAGAATCCCATAAAAAGAGCATGCCTGTCAATAAATCCTTAGTTCATCTTTGTACCCTTCTTCTGACTATGTAAGCTGTTTGGGAGTGCGTGTGTTTTACTGCAGGAATTATCCAGGGACACTATTGGAATTACACTGGGATTCGTCTACCATAACTACCGAACGGAGGGCTATATTCACTAGGCTCTGGCGGTTCGGGAGGAAACTACCGTTTGAGGTTTAAATGCACTTGGTTTCCTTACACATGCTAAGTCCCCCACACAGTCCCCTCCAGTAAAACCCCTGCGTTGTCTCTGTGGAAAAATTCATGGTGAATTGCATAAATACCGACCCTGTAGAATAAAAGTTCAGTTGACCTCCAAGCTATGTGTCGTCTAGTTATTGGGAGGAAAGGATTGTTATTCCGCTACCTGTGATTTACCTGCTTATCCTGACTACAAGTGGAGATACCATGGATTAACCCCTACTACTCCGCTACAGGTACGATACCTGCCTGGTAGTAAATCTGCAGAGGAATAGGCAGAGGGGACGATTCCTGCCTGAAAAAAGAGTTCTGGAGGGACCCCAATCAAGTTTTGGCTTTTGGGGCTGGAGCGGTCCAGGCTCCCTCCCCAATGGCTAGGAAGTGGATTGGGCGGAGGTACTCGGTCAGAGTACAGGAGCTCCGTCACATTTGGTGGCAGCAGTGGAATGGCTTTCTAGCAACAGGGGAAACATCCCTTGTCACGGGTGCATTTTCTAGGATCCCTGCATGCCTCCTGGAATTCACAGACATAGAGCGAGCTAGCACCCGTGCAGCATACACTTACGAGAAGTTCCAGCGGAGGCTGCAAGAAGCTCTGTCCTATAATTATGGCCCTATTTCAGAGTAGAGGGAGCTGAGCTGGAGGGATGCAATCTGAAATTATCTCTGGTACGAGGACCTGGAGGAAGCCCAGTCTCGGTGGAATGAAAGTCTCCCAAGTCAGGAGCAATACTGGCAAAAACAAGTGGCTCTGTTGATGCGACTCCTGGGAGTGCAGCCTCTGGAGGAGTGGGTGCTAGAACTTAAGCACCTGGTTGGGAAAGAACAAAGGTTGGACAAGGCATACAGGGCGATTTGGTGGTTCGTGGTTAGCAGAGGATGACAATGGTCATGACCTGTTGACGAAGCCCTTGGAGAGGGACGATGACGTTGGCAGTCTTGAGGAGCCTCAGTTCTGGAATATCCGTGAGTACAGAGGAGAAATGCTGGGGCTCCGTGGAGCTATTGGGCTGGGACCAGACCTGACCTGTCTGGCCATCTGGGAGTGGGAACTGGAACAGAAGTACCAACACCTGCTCAATTTGGTAGAACAGGAGGCGTTCCAAAGGGATGATTTGAGTAGGGAGAGGAGAGTAACGGCCTTCCTTTCCAGCAGCAGCCGGAGCAACCAGGAGCAGAGGCAGTCGAGGCAGAGGTCCTCCCCAGTGGCCATGTGTTATGCAGGGAGAGTATCACCCCCACACCCCCTCTTCAGCGCCAGTTGAGGTTACTGGAAGGAGAGACAGCTGATCACCCTCCCCAGCAGCAGGGTGAGTTACCAAGAGCAGAGATAGTTGGTCCCCCTCCCAGCGGAAGGTTATTGTGCAGGGAGAGGAGAGCATCGGCCTTCCTTCCTAGCAGCAGTTGGAGTTACCAGTAGCGGAGACGATCGGTCCTCCTCCCCAGCGGCAGTTTGTTATGCAGGGATAGAAGAGTATCGGCCTCCCTCCCTAGCAGTAGTTGCAACTACTGGAAGTGGAGAAGGTCGCTTCACCTCATCAGCAGCAGTTCGTTATGCAGGGAGAGGAGAGTATGAGCCTCCCTCCAAAGCGGCAGTTGGAGTTCCAGGAATTGGAGGTTAACATCCTCATTCTCCAGCTGCTGAGTATGGCTTTTTTACCAACATGAGAACTAGGAGTTCACCACAATTCTGGCTGAAGCACTGGCATCTACCCCCAACTTGCTGTTGCTTCTGCAGGTGTGAGAGTAGAGGAGAGCTCTACATTGCTGGATGAGTCAAGTGGAGCTCACCACACCCCCAGCTGAAGTGCTGGCATCAGGACAGAGTGCTGCTAACCTCTGTCCTAAACTACTAAAGAAGAAAGCCAGCCTCTTACCAACAGACTATGGATCTAGTCCCAGGAATCCCTGAAAGAGGTGTGTGACAGCAGCAATCAATTTACAAACTATTCATTGTTATTGGATAACTGTCCTAACTGTCTAGAATTGTGTTCATTTGCATAAGAAATGTATGCAAATGTGGGCAATCAAATGAGTAGTAAAATGTATATATAATTGCTTTTTGTAACGGCACCCTCAGCATCAAATAGTAAAAAACGCCGTTTAGTTAATCCTCCCCTCTCACCATAACGCAAGCTTCATTCGTATCAACTCCAACTATACGAATTGCAAGCAGGGGAACGCTCCAATCTCCCGAACGGGACCCGTACGGGTACTTCACTTTCTGATCAGTAAGCTCACGAATCGCCGCTAACAGCCGAAACCATATATCTCCCCACCCGGCAGTCGCTATTCGTGTAGTAAATTCCCCTCCAATAACGAGACCAAGCTCCGCATTGAGGGTAAACCATGAACTGGGTTTACTGTGGGCTACCCGCCCGTTTTTATGCAGGTCTCCCACTTGGTGGACACTCCCCTAGCGGACCAAATGGGAGACTGTAACGGCAGATGGACATACAGCATTTCAGGATACACAGGCACATAATATTCCCAGCATGCATCATGGTTTCCTCCCCTCTGCCCTGGAAATAATTGAGAAGTAATTCAATTATCTCCCAGGACAGAGGCAAATCGCCATTTTAGATGCGACCCAAAAAACACATAAAAATATATAATTTTACAACTAACGAACATTTCCCATTCGTGTAACGTATCCCCAGATAGCCTGGATCTGAGTGCATATTATTGGCGAATAGCGCTCAGATCCCATACGCACAGTTCAATCGCCATGAAGTCAAAGTCTATTACAGTCTTTCGGTATGCGATTGACTCCATGGGAAGGCTATCTGGGTTAAGTCCATTCGTGCGGTTCAAACTCCCGAACGTCCGGTGTTGATGCCTTTGTCGATTGAGAAGGGGGGTCGGTAGTTTTAGCGGTGTTCGGCAGAAGAAGTGTCTGTTTTCAGTTCCATACAATCTGTGCTGAACACCGCTGGTCTTTCGCATGTTTTAAAATGGCCGCCGCCTCGTGGTCGACTAACGAACGTCGACCACCCTGTATTCGGTTATAATTGAGAGGTGTCTGTGGTTAACCACAACGTTCTAATTGGGATCAAGAGGTTAACCAGCAGCACACTTCTCTTCTGGGTGGCCATCCGTTCAGTAAGTTCATTCGGTAGAAAAGTCAAATAAACGAACAGGGGCATACGGACCGGTAATTCCACGAAAAGAGGCAAAACAGACGAACCAGCAATCCCAGCCTATACAGATGGATCTGTCACACTTTTTATTGGTATTATATAGTGCATGTATTAATTGTTTACTAATGTTCTTTCTATTGGTATTTTGTAAGTGTCACAGCCATCTAAAGGTTATTGGAAAATGGGCTAGTCCCCCCCACAAAAATTAAGAAATGTAAGCAGAGCTGCAGAGAAATAGGCAGAAGGGAAAATACCTTCCTGGAAGAAGAATCTGGTCAGGTAAGAGAGTTATCAGGCAACCTTGCTTACCTCATCACAGCGAGTGGCGTCATCTGGTCCCTGCATACTCCAGAGCAGCTTCCTTATATGTGTGCTGAACCCGGTCCTGTGACACGGCACACAGTGATAACCTTAGAGACCACAAAGGAGCAAAAAAACTTCTCCCATGTGTTGTGGTTAACAACAATTGGAGGTTAGCCAATCAGACACACCCTGTGTGTATATAAGCTAACCTCTCCCTTGCCTTAGTGCCCTGTTGTGGTCTTTGGTTTACCATCGAGCGTTGCACTTGTTATTTGGATTTCCTGGTTAGTGATATTTGGCTTTGTCTCTGGTTATTCTGTCTCTCTGGTTATTTCGTCTCTCTGTTTCCCTTGATCTCTACTCGTGTTTTGACTATCCTTTTTTTGCAAAACCCGACCATTCTAAGGATCGGTATTGCAATTCTCTCTACTTTGTCCAGGCTGCATGTTAGGGTTCCCTAGTGAACATTACAGTTATGAAGAGACCCCAGATAAGCCTTGGATACTGGGGCTGAAGCAGTCAAGGCCCCCTCCCCAACAGCTGGGAAGTGGATTGGTACTCGGTCGGAGTACGGGAGCTCCATCACAGAGGCGCTGAACGTTCCCCATAGAGATGCTGATTGGTGCAGCATTTTGCAGTGCATGCGCTATAGGCAATAGCCTCTCAATGCTTTTCTATGGGAAAGCATTGGGTTGGCAGAGATCAACAAGCATGATTCAGCCATGGGGAGATTGATATGACGTGGAAAAAAGGTAAGTATAGACACCATTTCCTCGTGATCGTAAGGGTGGCCTGGTCACCTAAACACACACATACACTGAGACAGACGCACACACTGACAGACACAAATACCCAGATAGACACACATACACAGACAGGCACATATACCAAGACAAACACAAAACAATGTTAATAATCTTGACTATTCGTGGATTCATGAAGAAAACCTGTTTATTTTTAAACTAATATTAGCTGAATGTGTGTAAAAGACTTATATTTATCACACAATGCTGTCACATTTCTAAGTAATACACATAGTTTCATACAATGAGACAGTGTAACTAAAGAAACAGGCACAGGATTACCAGAAAGAGATAATACTAAAGTAATTCATTTTACTTTTTAAATTTAATGGATTGCTGCAAGGGTCCATTGTAAGAGAAGGTGAAACCGAGACCAAATGCATCAAAATCATACTTTATGGCCCAAAAATCAGGCTGTCAGTCTAAGAAGATCTCTTTGAAGATTGACAGATTATGTGACAAATGGACCATAAAGATAAAATAACTATGACATCAAACGCATCACGAAATTCAATTAACAAAGTGGTAGTTGGAATTCTTGATGATAATTTCTTGTGGTGTTACAATGCCATCTATTGACCAAATTCTATAAGGCAATCAATAGAAGAAGAGACACCCACATGGCTCCATTGGTCACTTTAAATTAGTGACGTAAAGAAAGTTAAGGGAAGCTCTTTCTTAAAAATTGAGCAGGACCAGATCATTACCCAAAAGATGGACACCTCTAACTCTCTGTATCTTTTATACCTAAAATTATGAAACTTTGAAAATAACACTTTGTCTTTTCCAAAGAACTCTTGATAACTTCTCTTATTCACAATCTCCATTTATAAACATACTCATACCTGCACCCACCATTCCTTGAATATATCTCCAAGCCTAAAGATTTTCTACCAGAAAGATGGAAAACATGCTGGTTTCATTTCATTTAATTGAATACATTTTTACTAAAAGCGAAACGTACATGGATAAGGCTGGTCATATTTAAAATCTTTGAAATCATAATTAGCTGAGGAAATATATGGTTCCACATTCCATTCCTGCAGGTGGAATAAATGAACAATATATTTACTGGTAATTTGCCAAGTATAGCATTTCAAGCTATTATCCAGAAATATTGTCCTATCTGAATTTAAGGATAGTTAATCTTTAATAAGGAAAGTTAATCATCTGCAATGTAAAATTTTGATTATAATTATTCTTTCGACTCACTGGATGGAAAGAAAATAGTTAATCCTGGTGAGAGAAATATTGTATTTGTTAATTGAAATATAAAACGTGTTTTTCCTGTGAGTATTGTAGCCAGCAGTGAGTTAACTCTGTGTGATTCAAACTGACAGCAATGCTATGACTGAAAGCTGAGCTGCTGTGAAAAGTTCTGTGTTAAGAAATGTCTAACTGGTACAGAAAATAAAACATAAAACACCCCAAAACATACATAATATTAACAGGGACCCCCACAAGTTCTATATCCCTGGATAGTCTGGATCTGAGTCTATCCCAAAACGAACAAAATATCAAATGGTTCCCCTGAATCATAGGTAGCCACTGTTCATCTAGTTTGTACGTACCTTTTCACAGAATAGCGCTTTCCTGGCTTGCTGGGAATAGAAGCAGGCGTTGGTACAAAGTTACCGGTTTTCGCAGGTTGGAGTGTCGACTTGGAGTTCCAGACACTTAAAGACCAAGTACCGCTGCCTGTTTTTGGGAGACAAGATGACGTGTTGTTCGGTTATACGACCGGTGGCCGTCCAGGGAGAGAACTTAACTTTGTGTTTACTTTGAAGTTAAATGAGCCAGAGATTGGTCGGTTTTCGGTAGATCAAACTACTGAATGCAGGGAAAATAACTGGGGCAAGGGAAATTACAGGGGTTTGTCACAATCAGTTTGTGATTAATGTGTAAAATACAAATTTTCTAATAAAACGTACCCCAGGGTATATTACAGTTAAAATAGTGGGTAACTCTTTGCTTGAAATCAATTAAGGGGAACAGTGCCAATATATACATTTTTGATATAACAAAAAATATTAAATACATTTGTGATCATTTATGAAAATATTTTTTATATTTATCACCTCATAAATATCCTCACAGGAGGCAAAATGGCCACCATTTGTCAGAGCACATGATTTCGGTTATACGAATGGCAGCTACCCAGACAGAGAACTTGAGTTTTGTGGTTTATTTGAAGATAACGAGCCAGGGTGATGGTCGGTGTTCGGTAGATAAAAGTACTGAAACAAAGGGGAACAACTTGGGCTCGGGGAAAAAAAATAATTCAGGGCAGTTTGTCACAGTTGGCAGAGGGACGGAGAAGGCAGGCGGCCAGCTAGGGGACAATGGAGGCTGAGGGGCGGCCATCTTTGCACTCTGTAGGCTGAAGGTGAGGGATCTGTGATCTCCCTGCTTTGCTCCCCGCATAGTGATGCTGGGGCTGGAGTGACATAATTTTCTGGCTCCAGCATCACTAAATGGCGCACAAGGAAGCAAAGCAGGGAGATCACAGCTCCCTCACCGTCAGCCTACACAATGCGCAGCCGGCCACTTGACCACCCCAGAGGGAATGGGCTCACAAATCCCAGGCGATTTGTTGAGCCCTGTCACATGAGTCCAACAGATCAGTGGAAGTAGAATCAAAATCCATGGATGGAGTGTGGTGTTCCACCATCTTAAAACTGCACTCTCTCATTGAACCTTTGCGACTCTAATAGACTGTTATGCAAGACATCTCCAGTGTCAACACCTGCTATCCTGAGTCTATCTACTGACTTCCTAACAGTCTTGAATTGGCAGCTTGTTTCAAATAGGGCCAAAAAATTTTCTCACAAAATTAGCCTTGGAGAAAAACCTCTCAAAACACAACTCATTATGTTTGTGATCCAGCGTAAATGTATTAATATTATTGAATGGACAATAGTTGTTCCCACTCTATGACTGTTTTGGCTTGATTACTAATGCCATTTCCTATGGAGATTGGTTTGTCTCCAATATACTTTCATAGGTTCGCAAAAAAAATACAAAATAATTTTCCATTTCTCCATCAGTGATTCACTTCGAAGAGCACTGTGATATTCTTTTCCTTTGACAATGTAAAAAGAAAGTGAAAATATGGGTGGTGTTACGGGAACAAACTACATAATAATGTAAATCAACAAAGACTTTATTGTAAAGTGTATTTTAACACATTTATCAGCCATATATACGACAAAGATTTTGAATACATTTTATACATTCCTCTTCATATATATCAGCGTTTTTGAATTAATTTAAGGAAACATTCCAACCACTTCAGCATAACATAGTGGTTGTGGTCCTGGGAACCTGTATTTGGAGTTTGTCAAACGTTTTTCGGCTACCAAAGCCCTCTTTAGTTTTCATTGACAGAGTAAATTTAAATTTCCTTGTCCAAGGAAATGGTGTGCGCATGCATTGCACTCACACACCATTTTAAAGTTTTAGGTTTAAGAGGATTCTGCTATGCCAATCCAATACAATCTATTAGTGCTGCAGAATCACCACAAGTCCTATGGTTTGCAGCAAGATCTGCAGAAGCTCCATACGTAAAAAGAGAAGAGAAGTTCATTCTCTAGGTTAACGTTTTGACATAACTAAAACGTGGTGTACACAGAACTTCTAAGTCAAACTGTGTGAGAAATTTGTAATGTAAGAATCTTTAGACTGTGGATGGTCCTGCGTTTCTATTTTTTTCACAACTAAAGATGTCACAGTAATCCCAGGCAATTCCACAATAGCATTATGGCTAAATGTATCTGAATTCCTATGATAAAGACCAGCTCAAGTCTATATTTTGTTATACTATCAACGTACGGCCTGTGTGTCTCCATTTGTTTCCTTCAAAAAAGGCTGTTTGCAAAGACAGTCCTCGTACATCATCTGTCGTGAAGGAGTAATATAATATGTAGTCGGTTCACCGATGATCTTGTCACTGTTCTATAAATCAGTCATTTACACACTGAGCAATAGGTTTTCTTTCTGAGTGAACAAGACGATGTTTGAAAAGACTTCCTTTAACGCTAAAATGTTTCCCACATTCAGAGCAAGGATATGGTCTCTCTCCTGTGTGGGTTCTTTGATGTATGACAAATACAGTCTTCTCATAAAACCGTCTCCCACATTCAAAACAACAATATGGTCTTTCACCTGTGTGACGTTTTTCATGATTTACAAGAGTGAATTTATGACGGTAACATTTGCCACATTCAGAACAGGAATATGGTTTCTGGCCTGTGTGTATTATCTGATGTCTAACAAGAGTGGTTTTATCAATGTAACCTTTTCCACACACGGAACAAGAATACGGCTTCTCACTTGTGTGGATTTTCTCATGTCTGGCAAGTTTTTTTTCATGGCTGAAACATTTGCCACACTGCGCACAGGAATATGGTTTCTCAACTTCATGAAGTAGTTCATGGCTGACAAGTGCCTCCTTATCTGCAAAACATTTCCCACATTTAATACATAAAAACGGCTCTTCTACTGTGTGAATCTGCTGATGCTTAATGAAAAAAGACTGGTTTATAAACCGTTCCCCACATTCAGAACAAGAATATGGTTTCCCTTCCATGTCAATTAAATCAGATTTTTTTTTCGCTCTCGTATGCATTCTTTCATGTTTGATTACACCCGATCGATCGCCAAAACATTTTCCACATTCTGAGCAAGCATACGGCTTCTCTCCTGTGTGAGTTCTCTGATGTGCAGCAAAATTCTCTTTATTGATAAACCGTTTTCCACATTCGGAACAAGAATAAGGCTTATCTCCTGTGTGCGTTCTTTCATGCGAAAGCAGACCCGTTTTATGTCTAAATAATTTCCCACACTCCAAACAAGAATATGGTTTCTCCCCTGTGTGAATTCTTAGATGACTTCGAAGGTCAGATTTTTGGATAAACCGTTTTCCACATTCAGAACAAAAATATGGTTTCACTCCTGTGTGAATGTTTTGATGCATTGCCAGAACAGATCTTCGTGAAAATAGTTTTCCACACTCTGAACATGAATATGGTTTCTCTTCTATATGACTAATTTTATGCTCAAGAAAAGCACACTGTTGGGGGAAACTCTTTCCACATTTAGAACAAAAATATGGTTTATCCTCTACACAAACCTTCTGATGTTTATCAAGATATGATTTTCTTGTGAAACCTTTCCCGCATTGTGAACAAGAAAATGCCTTCTGACCTGTGTGAGTTTTTATATGTTTTCGAAGGTTTGGTTTCTGATTAAAACATTTACCACACTGAGGACAAGAATATGTTTTTTTTGTTTGTGTATGCTCTGAAGGTAAATGCATGTCCGTAAGATATACTTCTACATATGATGTTGGTTCCTCCTTAATGTGAGTAGATGTCTGTGGATGTTCTCTGGGTGTGGATATATTGAGATTTTCTTCACATGAGACTGGTTCCTCCTTAATATGAGTAGATGGGTATTTTGTCTGTGGATATTCTGGGGGTGTAGATGGGTCGTTGAGATTTCCTTCTTCACATAAGGCTGATTCCTCCTTAACATGAATAGATAGGTATTCCGTCTGTGAATGTTCTGTGGGTGTAGAAATGTCTGTGAGATTTTCTTCTTTACACATGGCTGGTTCCTCCTTAATATGAGTTGATGGATATTCTGTCTGAGGATGTTCTGTGGGTATAGAAATAACTGTGAGATTTCCTTGTGTAAACCAGGCTGGTTCCTCCTTAATATAAGTAGATGGATATTCTGTCTGTGGATGTTCTTTGTGTGTAGAAATGTCTGTACGATTTCCTTCTTTACATGATGCTGGTTCTTCCTTAATATGAGTAGACTGATATTCTGTCCGTGACTGTTTGGTGAGTGAACATGTGTTAGTGTCTATATCTTCACATAATGAATCTCTTTTAACGTTTTGCATACAGTGACTCATATTTAGGAGTTTACTTCCAAAGATAAGATTTTATTTAGGTTCTGATGAAATCTGTAGGAAAGAGGTAAATAGGCAAATATTAGATTATGGTTGTTATGGCTTCTAAAACAATTATACTTTTTATTACAGAGACAATCTTATCAACACATAGCTTCATTCTGCTGGAGCTGATCCAGAAATGAACCACAGAATACAGCATTTCAATAAGTTTAACTTGTCTCCCGAGGCTAGGGGCTTACTTGCACCAGGCACACGCGCAGCTCACCTCGCCAGGCAGCGCAAGCTTCTGTGCCAATCCCCTCCTCAGGTCACACACCCCAAATGCTCCACATGGCCGTGCAACCTGAACAAGGAATATTATACTAATTATTCGGCCCGACGAACAGCTCCCTTTACTGGTTCAAACATCCTGAAATCTATTAATCAGTTTCTTCCACGTAGCATCTTAGATGCTAAAGTGACCACATCATCTAGGCGACCCCATGTTTAATTGGTTTGGAGACACAGACATGACGTGCACCAATCAGAAAGTGTGTTAGAATATATGAAGTTCATTGCCCTATTGTGGCTTCTGCCTTCATATACGTTAGCGATTATAGTAAGTTTCTCTTGATATATTTTGATATATTTCTGGTATCCTGACCCGGCTTGTTTATCTGTATTTCTATATTCCTGACCTTGGTTATTACTTACTTTGTCTTTATCTTTCTTCCATTAAAACCGGCCATTCTCAGGCCCGGTAAAAAGTATACCTAGTACCTCTGTTTGTGGGATTCGCCATTCCTATAAGTTAGGGTATGATCCCGTGACACCTGCAAGCTCAGGGCATCAGGACATAAAATTATTTTGTTACTGCTGTCATGCAGATATCAGACAATAAAGCCTGCTCCCTTAAAAAAATACAAACTATTAACACAAAAAAGAAAGAGGGAGTGAGGTAAATTGACACAAAAGGTAAGGATAGTATTAGACTAGTGACAGTTGGGAGGTATTAACAGTTTAATTGATACGCTTTTATGAAGAAGTGGTTTTTTGATGATTTTTTTTGAAGGAGTATCTAACGGAGGAGGAAAGCGAGTTCCACAGGAATGGTGCAGCCCTCAAGATGTCTTGAAGGCGAGCATCAGAGGTGGGAGTACGGACAGAAGATAGACGTAAGTCTTCAGCAGATCATAAGGGCCTAGACGGGACATATTTGTGTATTAGGGAGGATAGATGGGTGGGAGCAGCATTATGTAGAGAATTTTAAATTGAGCCCCATATCTTACAGGAAGCCAATGTACGGACTGACAGAAGGGTGAGGCGTGGGAGGTGCGGGCGGACCGGAAGATGAGCCTCGCAGATGGTGAGCAGGGGTAATATAGGGGGAGCAGGGGCACTATAAGAGTTGAGGGAGCACTATAGGGATAGATGGGGAACAGGGGTACTATAGGGGTAGCAGGGGCACTATAGGGATAGATGGTGAGCAGGGGCACTATAGGGGTAGAGGGGTACTATAAGGGGAGCAGGGGCACTATAGGGTAGAGGAGGCACTATAGGGATGGATGGGGAACAGGGGTACTATAGCAGGAGTAGCGGCACTACTGGTAGAGGGGGGCACTATAGGGATAGATGGAGAATAGGGGTACTATAAGGAGAGCAGGGGCACTATTAAGGTAGATGGAGAACAGGGGTACTATAGGGGGAGAAGGGGCACTATAAGGGTAGAGGGGGGCACTATAGGGATAGATGGAGAACAGGAGTACTATAGGGGGAGTAGGGGCACTATAAGGGTAGATGGGGCACAGGGGTACTATAGGGGGAGCAGGGGCACTATGGTCTCACTTAACAGGCAGCAGATTCGGCACTTATCCATGGAGATATATAGATATATATATATATATATATATATATATGTGGAAATATTGAGAACAAAAAATATGTTAAACCCATGCACTCCAATAGAAAAAAATGTTTTACCTGGTGCTCTGGTGGCTCAATTGTAGAAAGTAGAAGGGAACCGGCACTCAAGGAATTTTAGCAATATTTGACTGTGTAGAAATAAATCAACGTTTCAGCTCCTCAAGGGAGCTTTCATCAGGACATATGTCCTGATGTGGTATGTCCTGATGAAAGCTCCCTTGAGGAGCTGAAACGTTGATTTATTTCTACACAGTAAAATATTGCTAAAATTCCTTGAGTGCCGGTTCCCTTCTACTTTATATATGTAGAAAGGCCATTAGGCCTGAATTTGTGGGAGGAGTAAGTCCCCTACTTAAGCTCCAAGCCCCTACTCACCGCTGCCGCTCAGCTGATTGTCCAGCACTTCCGGTCCAGCTTCCCGCCAGAACTGTACCTGTTTCCAGCAGCCAGACGCCCTGTGCAAATCCTCCGTCCGTCCGAGGCCCCTTCCACTCCGTTTCTCTCCGGTCGAGGTACCCGACTTCCGGTCACGAGACCGGCGCGTTCACGTAAGCAAGGCGGGGGAATTAGCGTTCGCTTTTTCCCCGCCGTTCGGGCCTAAAAACGTAGGGGTAGGCTCCCTCCTTTTCGCATTTTCACGAATACACGCTGTTCGTTAATATCTCCATTCGCGCCAAAAAACGCACGAACGTTCGGCTCATTTCGCTATCATTTAATGCATTTTCGTACGGAAACAACCGAATAAATATTCATGTTTAAGCTCATTATTATCTGCATTTCACTTTTCCGTTCGGTTATTTCAGCACCAACCTACTCGTATGGTTAAATTCACGAACACCATCTTACTAATTTACATTCGGTTATTTCTATTCTTTTAAGCTAAGATTGCATAAGTTCTAATCACAGTCCTACTATTATTTATTCCTTCATATCAGTTTGCGGTTACATTATATGGTTAACTACCAGCCCTGTGTTTTCCTACCTTGTTAAACCATTTAAAAGTATTTTTCTGTAATATACATAATGTTCATCACGGCTCATAACTTCATACATGTCTAAATTCAAGCTATACCAATCTTTCCTAATTACACTCAGATAAGTCTTTTTAAACACTATTTACAAGTTATACCCTTTACACATAATCCGTACTATTCCTTGCACATAAATCACGCTGTCACATTTTTCGGCTTTTACAGATTGCATCGGTCTCTTGCTTTTCTGCATTAAAGTTGTTATTCCAAGGTCCTTTTATTACAGGAACAGGTATGGTTTATTATCACCTTGAGTTATCAGGTTTTATCAATTATCTTCACATCTATTGCTAACTATGGAATTTCTCTCGGTTAAACCCTTAGATCCTGTATTAATCTAAGATTCCACCGTTTCCACGCAGTTAACCTGCCACGATTAAAACAATCTCTGTACTTTAATCAAAGGTATAGTTCACTCTCTTTTCAATACTAGACCTCACGCGGTCTCAACTCCATTACTACCTTCCCTCAGGCTTACGCCCAGGATACGTTATCTCTTTACTACCTGTCTACACAGACTTTCGGTCATACGGCCACCAGGCTCAAGAAAACACCAAATCCTGACACGGTACACAGCCATACCTTCAGGTACTTACATCCTTACTCAAGTACGTCCATTCGCTACCCCAAGGCCTCATTCTGCCTTCTCAATCATATCCAAAATCATCCCATTCCTACACCTAAACCTCCCAGATCCCTCAATGCAGGATCTCACGTCGTGCCCCTAACAAACCTTCTCCCTATACTATTCATACGACATCACGATACGTATAAACACATCAACATCTGTCTTAAACCCCCAGGATTCTTCCTCAAAGACAACATTAAGACAAGACTCTCTACACTTACCAGGAGGCTCCAGATACCATTTGCGACCAGTCAAGGTTAGTATCCACACACCATTCCAGTCCTCTAACTTTACCCTTTAGCATACTATCGAACTGGCTATACGGCACAGGCTAATGCCTTAGCCCACCTTATCAGGAAATCTGATCCCGCGAGGCCTACCACCCCCACCCCACCTCAACACGGAGGTACGGCCCCACGCCCAAATCATAGTTATAAGCCTCGCATGCCTTACTATAGGGCTCTAGTTAGGGCCTCACCTGTCACGGCCACACGTTTTGATTTCTCTTATCGTCACCGAGAGGCCAACATCCCGCCACCACGTCTGTGGCACCTACGTCATAAGCCAAATCATAGGTAGAGCCTCTCATCGCCACTTGGCATTAGCAGGGCCTCACCTATCCAGTCATTCAATAGTTAAGTTTTTCGCCTCGGCATCTAGCATTAAAGTCCAGTTCTTCAAGACACACCACTCCCCATACCCCCCCTTCTTACCTCACTCCCCTTCTAATATATCTTTCACATAATCATTCCTTTTAGAATGTCCCAAGAACCAATTCCAACCGAAGAACTGACAGAAGAAGCACCATTCACGCCAATCAGACCCGTGTCTCCAGGCGAATCACTCACTCTTTCAACCCCCACGTCCTTGAGAGCATGGACTATTCCCAAAATCACAGCCGAGCTTAGGCTCAGGGGAATCCCCTTTCCGGCCACAGCTAGAAAGGCAGAACTTTACAGGCTGCTTACCCACCAAGTCCCCGAGCCTCGGCCGGGAACTAGCTCTCAAGGACAACCACCAAGTACCAGCACGGCCACCCAGGATACCCTGGCAGATATCTTGGCCAATCTACAGGCCCTCAATAGCAGGCTGTCTAAGGTGGAGAGCGCCATCTCCTCCTCAGGTACTAACACCGTAGTCCCAGTCTCTACCACGGCTGTACCTGCCATACCTTCATGTCCCTCTATACTCCCCCCTCCAGCACCTGGCACAGCCATCACACCTTTCGAGTCACCAGCACACTCCGTCCCAGATTCTATCAGGAAAGATATCCTTGACGGGAAGGATGTGTGTCTGGTGTCTTTACTCATAGCCTCTCAGGATGTACTCGAGAACAAGGCATACAATTATGGTGACATCTCTGTTGTGCTTAAAACGAGGGATCCCAGGCTTAATAAAAAATTGTCTATCCCACAGTTTGTGATAGCTTTCGGGATATACCGAGACGTCATTTGCACGGTGTATCCCCATAGGAGAGAAGAGCTAGATCTCTATCTCCACAAGGTAGTGGATCTAGGCATCAAGTACGGGGGCTCTTCCTTCTATGACTACCACAAGTCAGTCTCAGCGAAGGCGGCGACCCATCTCAAGCAGTTCAACATTAGAATGAACTGGGGTCAGATGGACACTGAACTTTTCTGTCGCCACTTCGCCGGACTCAGGCCCCCGGCTTGTGCCATCTGTAATTCCACATCCCACATGGCGGACTTATGTCCCGTCGAACCAGATCCCACCACCTCCACTCTCACCCCTCACCCCACGTTCACACCTCACTCCTCTTTCACCCCTCACAAGCCAGCGGGTGGTCTCCGGGATAAGCTGGGTAGGCCCATCTCCTTTTTAGGTAAAGCACAGGTGTGCAATAATTTCAACGCAGGCTCCTGCAGTTTCAGCGCCTGTAGACTATTGCACATCTGCTCCATATGTTTCAGGGCACATACCAAGACCATGTGTCCAGCCAGGTTGTCACCAAACAAATGACTAACCGACATTAATATCGACAACCTGGTTTTTTATCTAAGGTGTCACCCCAGCAGGCACTTAGTGGATTTTCTCACCACAGGTTTTTCACAAGGGTTTCACACAGGCATAATAGCCATTCCCCCAGGTACACTAGAATGTCCTAATCTCCAGTCTGCACGTTTAGACCCAGTCGCTGTAGACACTCTCATTTCCGCAGAAACCACAAACGGTTTCATGATCGGTCCTTTCACCTCTTCACCGTTTTCCTCCTGGCGCACTAACCCTATTGGTATTGCTATTCACAAATATTCTAATAAAAAACGTCTCATTATCGATTTATCGGCACCGCACTCCTCTTTTGTTCCAAGCATAAACGCACTCATTCCAGCAGACGAATTCTCTCTGCAGTACGTCACCATCGACGACGCTATACAGTCTATCATGACATCTGGTAATCGACCCTGGCTCAGCAAAACAGACATCACTAACGCCTTTAAATTACTGCCCATACACCCCTCACTCTGGCACTTACACGGTGTTAAATGGCGAGGGTATTATTACTTCTCAACACGACTCACTTTTGGTTCCCGAAGCAGCCCCAAACTTTTCGACATTTTCGCTGAGTCACTATGCTGGCTGCTTCTGAATGTCATCAGGTGTCACTCCGTTATTCACTATCTAGATGACTTTCTACTGATAGAGCCAGGGTCATCAACACCCACAGCAATCAATAGTACTACCGCACTTTTTTCCACACTTGGAGTCCCTTTGTCCCCAGCCAAATCTTCACCCATCATCCACACAGACGCAGCAGCCAACACCGGTTTCGCAGCCATTTTCGGGAACCACTGGTTTAGGGGCCACTGGCCCACTGAGACGGATGCCTTGCCAGGATTCAGGGAAACCTCAACCCTATTTGAAATTTACCCCATTGTGGCGGCCGCACACACCTGGGGTCATCTCTGGTCCGGCAAGGCAGTAAAATGCTACTCAGATAACTCGGCAGCTTGCGATATTATTAACAAAGGGCGCTCATCATCCCTAACCATCATGCGGCTGATTCGCAAGTTGACCTGGCTGGCAGCATCCAATCAGTTTCACTTAGTATGTTCTCATATCCCGGGTATTCACAACACCGCCGCTGACGCTCTTTCTCGTTCTCGATTCCAGGCATTTTCTCAGGCACTCCCAGCAGCTCACCATCAGCCATCCAGGACACCACGGTTTCACGAACTAATATTGGATTAAGCACACTCTTGCTTCACGCTAGATCACTCACTCACCAAGCATTATCACCCAACACTGCTATCACTTACAATAGGGCACTTAACATATTTAATAAATTCACTGCAGAATTCGGGCTACAAGGTGACTTTTCTATCCAAACCATGGTGTCTTTTGCCTCTTTCTGCCACCTACACCTTAATCTGTCACACAACACCATTAAACTTTACCTCACCGGGGTTCAGCACCACAGCCTCACCAATTTTCCTAACAGCACCCCCTTTTTGTCTTCATACCCCATAAAAAAGGTCTTGAAAGGCATATCTAAGGTTTCACCACCACTCGCAAGCACTAGATTACCCATAGACGGGCCTATCTTCAGGTCTCTTAGCAATCTCCTTGACACAGCCCCATTTGATAGCTACACCAATACGGTGATAAAATCTGCCATATATCTCGCTTTCTACGGTTTTCTCAGACCTAGAGAGTTCACAGTGATTTGTCAAGGAGATATCGCACAATGCCTTAAAACTTCACACCTCACCAAGGTAGAGGATCACTACCTCCTCTCTATCCCTACCACTAAAACCAACCGGTCAATACATCCTACAATAATTCCTCTCTTCCCTACTGATAATGCCTGGTGTCCGGTGAAAGTTCTCGACCAACTACGGTCTACTTTTCGCACTCACCTGCCAGACTCTCCGCTCTTAACATTACAAGGGCACCCGCTTACCACGGCAAAATTGATGTCACATGTCAGAACCCTGTTATCTAAGCTCGGACACAATCCGGCTGCATTCTCCGGGCACTCCTTCCGCATAGGAGCCGCCTCAGCAGCCTCAAGCACAAACGCACCGGTCCACATCATCAAAAGGCTCGGGCGATGGAAATCCTCCATATATAACGCATATATTCCGCAACCAGAGAAAGAGCTTCGCCAAGCTTTCAGAAACTTGGTCTTGTAAAATGCAATAAAGTGTGTATTTTCTCGAATTTATCTTTTTGCCCTCTTTTATTTACAGGCCCACTCGTACGTTGGTTTCGGCACACCACAACCAACTTTGCTCACAGTTACTATCCATCACGTATTTAAATTCCGAGCACAAGTAGAAAGGCCATTAGGCCTGAATTTGTGGGAGGAGTAAGTCCCCTACTTAAGCTCCCAGCCCCTACTCACCGCTGCCGCTCAGCTGATTGTCCCCACCCACCTACACCCTGTTTTAACTACATTATCCTTGGTGGGCCCTCTTTTATTTACAGGCCCACTCGTACGTTGGTTTCGGCACACCACAACCAACTTTGCTCACAGTTACTATCCATCACGTATTTAAATTCCGAGCACAAATATATATATATATATATATATATTACAGGTATTGTCCAACATTGCCACAATATATATATATATATATAAACAAGATGCTTGGCACTCTCCTATTAGATAATGAATAGGAAAAAATAGCCTGGGTGCTATATCCCGATCGCCAGAAATATATAAAAACCAAAAATAAGGATGCACTCACAGGACTTAATTATAGTGAAGAAAAGTGACTTTTAATTATTCCATGTGAAATGTACAAAAAATCAATCGACGTTTCGACGCTGATGGGTCTTTTTCAAGATCAATAAATACAGATCATAACAGTGTTTATATACAAATTATGCCATAAAACACTTACCAAGTGAGAATGTGAAATCAAGTGTCTCTGTCCGTTACTACCCGGAAGTGAATGAAGACCGGCCGTGACGTCACACAATTCAGACGTACGCCGGAGTAAAGAGGTTGCCATGGGGATAGTGCAAACACCTAAACGATCGGGTGCAAGTTAGATACCATGGAGGAGAATTGTACAGGAGTTATGTGAGGAAATAAAACAAAGTGAAACCAGTGGAAACAGTGCTCAAATAGTGCAATGGCCCTCAAACCCTCTGTTCCTGTGTGTCCAACTTGTCTGGTTACAACTATATGTCCGTTTGTCCACCCATTGTACAGAGCTGCAGAATTTGATGTCGTTATATAAATAATAACACAATAATAATAATAATAATCCTGCTCTGCGAAGATGTCTGGTCTTGGCTTCTGGTATCCAGTACTCTTTTTACAATTCTTGTTTAGTTTTTCTTGGTTTTTCTGGTTCTCTATTACATGCCTGGTTTTCTTTATGGTGGGGTTTCTGGGTTCATTCATTTATTCAGTTCCTGGAATTCCCAGTCTCCTGGATTTCTTTATATGTTTGTTTTTGTTGCCACATCCTTTCCTTTGCCATTAATCCTTTTGTTTCAGTTGGTTCCTGCAGGCAGCTGTTCCAAGTCCTCTGCCCCTTTCTTGCAGGTAAGTGATGTGTGTGTTTTATTATTGTTTATTTAGTCATGCATATCTAGGCAGTCTAGGAACCCGCCGTAATTGGAGTACCTTGACGCAGTGGTGGGCTGCATACATCTTGGCCATTTATGTATGTCAAAATCTCCATGTTTTACATATATAGTACTTAGTTATGTCTCCTCTTGTTTTGCCTTGTATGTCTTGTCTTGTTTTATTTTGTCTTGTATTCCCAGTTCATGTACAGTCCTGTCCCGCCCTGTTCTTGTTTCCTCATGTCTTGTGTACATGATCTGGGTTCTGCTTCCTGTCCTGCTCAGGTTCTGGTTCTCCTAGTTTTGTCTTGTTTTTGTCACAGTATATTATTAATATATTACACAGTATATTATATATTATATTATTATCACAGTATATTATATTACACAGTATATTATTATAGTACACTGTATATTATATTATTATATTATAATATATTATCACAGTATATTATTATTACACAGTATATTATAATATTATTATTGTGACAGATGCTCTGTCCCTGAATTTTAAACTTTTAAACTCTTTGTTCGGCTAACTATTCGTATGAAAAAGATTCACCTTTATTTTGCTAATGGCCACTCAAATAACTAATTATCTACCGAACGACCCAGACCTGGAGCGTGGCGCTTGTTAACCTCAATGCCCTTGTTAACACTTCTAAAAACCATGAACACCCTAACATTCTAAGTGATCAACTGGGTGGTCGGCGTTCGTATGCACGAACACGTGACGGCGGCCATCTTGGGATACGAATGTGACAAGCTGTGTTTTGTCGTCAAGTGTATGGAACTAAAATCGGTCACTCGACAGCACGAACACCACTGAGACTTCCACTTCTCATTCTGTTTGACAGTTATTGCATGAACGGAACGCCATTCGTTAGTTACAATGTACCGAACCAGTTACATTCAATGCCCAAGTGTACGAACAGCCACACTGGAATCTTTTAATGGATTTTGACTGTATGAAAGAGACCGACCGGACAGCCTAATCCTCTGGCACTATTTTGGGCATGAAAACATGCATGCGGTCGGTCAAAAGAGATTTCCACCTAACTCTTGAACCGATATGGGTGATTTTTCAATATGTTGTTCCCCCAGATCAGGGCTATCAGGGATATATTTTTTATGAGGTTTGTAACAGAACTATGCTTTTGCCCATGCTTTTTGCCTGGACTTAGATAACAACGCTGCTGGATGTATTACACAAAAACCGAATGGCTATTGTCGTGGAAATATTCCTACTGGAGAATACAGCCCACAATACCGAACATCGGACCACCCAGGGGAACAGTTAATTGCTATTTTACCTCCCAGCGCTTGTGGAGCCGTTCGCATGGTTCATTTGAATTCCTTTGTGCTCAGGTTAGATGGCCGCCATTTTGGGACTTTACACGTGTTCGCGGCCATCTTACGCACGAACAGCGGTGTTTGCCTGTGAACGCATGGAACTAAAAACGGATACGCAAACAGGCGAACACCGGTGAGACCTCCAGGAGCTCGTAAGTTCGTGCTGGAACTACCGAACAACCGGCCGTTCGGTAGTTTTGTTTAAGCTCTCATATGGATTCCAGCGAACACCAGGATGACTGTGGATGGCAAGGGGTTCGTGGGGTTTTAATGCACGAACGGAGACCAAAACTTATGGAACGCTTTTCGGCTAGAAAACCTGTGCGGTCAGTCAAAACTTCAAAGATCCATACCTCCCGAACCTCTCAACAGAATGGGCTTAAATTTGGACATATTGTTCCCCTGAGTGAGAGCTATCAAGTTGTGCTGGACTTAAAGGTGTACCCCCTGTTTTTGGGGTACATCCAGAATGTGGTTAAAAATGTGTCTGTTTGAATTATGTTATATGTTATCTAAGGGGAGGAGACGTGGTGGTTGAACCATGTATCTAATTGGCTGTTGTGTTAATTATGTGGGTGTTGCCTTTCAGAGGGCACCATTGCATAAAAAGGAGACCCCTGTCAATAAACATCAGTTCTACTTGACCCTTCAAAACGTAGCCTCGTCTCGTTCTTGCAGGGGATTTATGGTACCGTTACTCTGCATCATTTTACAGTACTGCCGGATGATACACTTGGATATCGTGGATGGGAATAAGATCTCCATTACTTCACAGCAGCTTGCCTAGAAAAGGATGTCTCCAACGGCAGGTACCCCTCTCCAGCTGGGTAGCCGTTACAAGGTTCCCATATGTTTTGAGGTGTTTGCAAAATAGTGTAAAAACTTGTATTTTTTTGTTTGGAGATAATTGAGTTGATACAGTAATTAACTTAATTATCTCCCAAGCAGAGGGGAGGGCTTGTGTACAGTATATGGGAGTGTTTAAGTGTAAAACTCTGTTTTTATTGGATTGTGAATTTCATGTTCTGTGCCCCACAAGGTCCACCTGGACGGTAACATTGTGGGGAAAACTGTATAAAAGAAAATTATGTGCCATTAAACCTTCAGTTCCTATTTTACCCTCAATCTAGAGTCTTGCCTCTTATTCGCTGCCCTCCTTCGTTAGATGCTCACCTAGTCTCCACTCCTTCAAAAAATCCTTAAAAACCCACTTCTTCATAAAAGCGTATCAACTGAATTGTTAATAGCGCCCGACTGATTCCTCTTTTGCAACTGTCACTAGTCTAATACTATCCCTACATTTCGGTGTCATTTTACCCCACTCCCTCTAGGATGTAAGCTCATTGAGCAGGGCCCTAAACCCCTCTGTTCCTGTGTGTCTAACTTGTCTGGTTACAACTACATGTCTGTTCATCCACACATTGTAAAGCGCTGTGGAATTTGATGATAATTCTGAGAAACTGCTATAAAAGCTATCACACTAGCTCTTGTAAGAGCTTCTCGACTTGGATGACTGCTGGAATGCTGTGAATACCCTTCAGACTCTGGAGGACACCCTCTAGCGGTGGGAACCCCTCTACTCATCGGGGTAACCGCTACAATAATCACAGTATATTCTTAGAGTATATTATTATTACACAGTATATTATTATCACAGTATATAATATTATCACAGTATATTATATTATAATTACACAGTATATTATTATCATAGTATATTATTGTCCCCTTAAGGACACATGACGGAAATATTCCGTCATGATTCCCTTTTATTCCATAAGTTGTGTCCTATATTACACAGTATATTATATTAATATTATCACAGTATATTATTATTACACAGTATATTATTATCACAGTTGTGGCAGTGTGAGGGAACCGTGCTATATTAGCCCCAGAATGGCACTTTCAGTGTTCCCTGACTAGAGGGGGTTAAAAATCCAGTTGCTTTAGTACATCAATTAGGGAGCTACCTAAACCCTATGCAGAGGGAAATCAGTCTCTCTTGTGAAGAGCTGGGGTGGAGACAGAGAGACTGAGAGTCAAAAAAACTGCTGAAACTGTGTGGGAACAAAAAGGTATTTTGCAAGCCTTTATTTTTATTTGTTAAACTACTGGGGTCATCTTAGCTGTCCAGTAGCAAAGACATAGAAAGTCTCCAGTGTGGAGTAGGAGTTTATTTTGGTTTTCATGTTTTGCTGTGGCTCAATTGGGGCCGGCTTGCTAAATAAAGCTTTCCTCATATTAGAAGAAAGAACCGAAGGGCAGGCTATTTCAGCTGCTGCCCGTTCTCAGAATACTCTTGTGACCCATTTTTTTGCTCTCCACAAGTTTAAAGGGTAATCCAGACATGAATCCCTTGCTCACGGTGCCTAGGGAGATACCAGCTATGCCTCACTGATGATGCCTAACAAGGCTGAAACGATCATCTGGGGTTGCTGTGTCTCTCGGGCAGAGGGAATTTGCTGGCATTTCGGATCTGGACTGCCCGTATGGGTGGGACCAGTCTGATATGTTTCAGAGATGTTCTCTCTGTAATGGCACAAGATGAGCTAAAACCAGCTTGAGAACTGAGCGGGGACCCACTGAAAGGCAGGCTATTTCAGCTGCTGCCTGTTCTCAGTATTCTCTTACGACCCATTTTTTTGCTCTCCGCAATATTACTATTATCGCAGTATATTATTCTCACAGTACATTATTATTACAGTATTTTATATTATCATAGTATATTATTATTACAGTATATCATTATTACATAGTATATTATATTATTACAGTATATTACTATAGTTTATTATTACTATTATCACAGTATATATTATTATAACAGTATATTATCTCATTATTCGTACAGAATATTAATACAGTATATTATATTATCACAGTATATAATTATACCGTATATCACAGTATATTACTATAGAATATATAGTATTATTACTATTATCACTGTATATTACATTATTATTACAGTATATTATCACAGTATATTATATCATTATTCGTACAGTATAATAATATAGTATATTATTATATTATCACAGTATATTATTCTCACAGTATATTATTATTACACCGTATATTATCACAGTATATTATTATTATTCTCACAGTATATTATTACAGTATATCATTATGAATACATACTATATTATATTATTACAGTATTTTATTATTATATTATCAAAGTATATTATTATAGTATATTACTATTATCACAGTATATTAAATTATTATTACAGTACATTATCACAGTATATTATATCATTATTCGTACAGTATAATAATACAGTATATTATTATTACAGTATATTATATTATCACAGTATATTATTATTATTCTCACAGTATATTATTATTATTATTCTCACAGTATATTATTATTCTCACAGTATATTATATTATTATTATTCTCACAGTATATAATATTATTATTATTCTCACAGTATATTATATTATTATTCTCACAGTATATTATATTATCACAGTATATTATATTATTATTCTCACAGTATATAATATTATTATTATTCTCACAGTATATAATATTATTATTCTCACAGTATATATTATTATTATTCTCAGTATATTATATTATTATCACAGTATATTATATTATTATTATTCTCACAGTATATAATATTATTATTATTCTCACAGTATATTATATTATTATTATCACAGTATATTATATTATTATTCTCAGTATATTATATTATTATTCTCTCGGTATATTATATTATTATTATTATTCTCACAGTATATTATATTATTATTATTCTCACAGTATATAATATTATTATTATTCTCACAGTATATTATATTATTATTATTCTCACAGTATATTATATTATTATTCTCACAGTATATATTATTATTATTATTCTCTCAATATATTATATTATTATTATTTTCACAGTATATTATATTATTATTCTCACAGTATATTATATTATTATTATTCTCACAGTATATTATTATTATTCTCACAGTATATTATATTATTATTCTCACAGTATATTATATTATTAATCTCACAGTATATTATATTATTAATCTCACAGTATATATTATTATTCTCACAGTATATTATTATCCCAGTATATTATATTATTAATCTCACAGTATATTATATTATCACAGTATATTATATTATTATTATTCTCACAGTATATATTATTATTATTCTCACAGTATATAATATTATTATTATTCTCACAGTATATTATATTTTTATTCTCACAGTATATTATATTATTATTATCACAGTATATTATATTATTATTCTCAGTATAATATATTATTATTATTCTCTCAGTATATATTATTATCATTATTCTCACAGTATATTATATTATTATTATTCTCACAGTATATTATTATTATTCTCACAGTATATTATATTATCACAGTATATTATATTATTATTATTCTCACAGTATATAATATTATTATTATTCTCACAGTATATAATACTATTATTATTCTCAGTATATTATATTATTATTATCACAGTATATTATATTATTATTATTCTCACAGTATATAATATT